ATTTTTGTAGTAGTGGACTTTGATTGTTATCAGTAATTCTTCAACTAGTGTTTACTGTAACTTGATAATAACCTGATTGATTATAGTTCCTTCAGAGTAGGGCCAACTAAAAGTTCCCTCAGTCTGAGAATTACTATCACTCTATTTTTGTTTCCACTGGTGATTTGATAACTAAAACAGATAGGAGAATCCATCATTATTATTGATAGGGGATTATCCCATACTTTTTTGAATTGACTTTGATATTGTAAACTGTAATGATAGTAACTTACTATATTAACTTTAAAATTAATATATTCACAACCAAAGTTTTTAAAAATGCTCTTGTTATGATATTTTTCGGATCCCTTTAAAAGAGTTGTTGGCCCCTAGTTACTACTGTTAAACGAGAGTTTTCTCTTGCTTATTAGTTTCTTATACGATCGTTTAATGGGTATTTTGATGGCCAAGACGACTTGACCGTTTTGTTTACCTGCTTTGAAGGTCGATGCATCGAAGCTGGGCGCTCTGACGGGCTGATTTTTATCCCTCAGCCCGCTCAGCTGCCGTTCGGGAACATAGCTGACCGCTGCGGGCAGGGACTCGCCTCGGGTCAACGGCGGTCTACCGGCGCCGCCCGTGGGATCGTCCATGGCGCTGCGCTTGACTCCGGGCGGACCGCCGGTCCCGGCGCCAGACAGGGGCGCTGCTCCGCCATCGGGTGCGAGACCGTGCGCCGACTGCTGCTGCTGCTGGGCCACATCCACGTCGACGTCCTCGCTGGGCGGTCGCTTAAGATTGACGGACAGGGCGGGCGGTAGATTGCTCCCTTGGCCGCTTCCGGCTGTGGGTACGCCACCTCCAGGGCCGCCTCCGCCCACGCCACGCGTTGCATTTGGCGGCAGGTGGTGGGGCGTCATATGTGAAATCCTCACCGGACGCACACCGCCGCCGGGAGCATCTTCCAGCTTAACGGGATAGTCCAGGGGCGGCCCGATGCGTGGCACGGGCATTTGATAGGGCATCTGATGATGATGATGGGCGGCGGCAGCTGCTGCGGCGGCCACGGCCGAGCCGAGTGATAGTGGCCCCGGTCCGCCCGCACCCGATGGGCCTGGACCGCCACCGCCGGGCGGAACACCGCCGCGATGGGAGCCCGGTCCTGGTCCCGGAACTGGGCCCACTTGTAACTGTTGTTGCTGCTGCTGGAGCACCACGGCTGCGGCGGCGGCCACTTCGCCGTTCTCGTGCGAACGCTGCTGTTTGCTGGCGGGATGGAGACGCTTCATTTGGCGGGCGGCGTCCAGCACCGCCTCGATGCGATCGGCGCCCTCGTAATTGACGCAACCGCGGCATACGGCCTCTGAAAAGTCATTGATCATCGCCCACGGCATTCGGGGCAGGTCGCACAAATAGCAGTGCTGCCTTTTCGTTTGCAGCGACATCCTGGAAACTGGAACCTGGATTTCTGCCTAGATGTGGGGAGGGGGGGATCTCTCTGGAAATCGCTGGTGCTGTGTGTGCACTCACTGGAATGGCTAACTGTTATATTCTTGCTTTGCTTTTTTTTATTTCTTTTTCTAGTGTGTTGCTGTGTTTTCCTTAGCTTTTGTTATTCATGTTTTCATATTGATTTTCGCACACGCACACACACGCGCGCACGCATTTTTCACCGCGCTTCACCCGAAAAAAATTCACTAATGTTTTCTATTGCGCTGCGCTGCTCATACACACACCAACAACACACACTTGACAAGCGCGAGAGCCCGCGCGCGCGAGAGAGAGAGGTGAGAGAGCGGGACACGTACACGTACGACGCCAAAAACGTGGAGGAAATGGAAATACAAAAACGAACGGGAGAACGAGCGACGCAGCGTATAACGGAAAAGTCAACCGGACGCCACAAAACTCGCGGATAGAGTGACCTTGGAGATAACGTGCGAATATACCTGAGGGGCTGGCTCGAACACACTAAAAAATCCGCTTCAATAAGCCAAATATACTAAAGAAATACCATAAAATTGTATTATAGCATGGTGATGAACCATAAATTGGGACGTTTGTAGAATTATACCGCCGACCCAAACCTTTGCAAATAAATTCGGTTTGAATTGATAAACCGTGAAATTTAAAAACCAAAGTAATGAGATTTGTTCATTTATATATATTTATACGCTAACTATGTTTTACTCAAGCTACACGTACATATATATAAACACTTAGGGTTATTTGTTTCATACTTCTTAATTTAAATATCTGGACAAATTGCAGTATTAATTCACTAGTAGCAGAGACTAAAACCGCTAACCGATATAACCGATAAAACAATTTCGTACCAGAAAACCGTTACAAAAAATAATAAAATATGGTAAAGCTTAAATTTTAATACAAAATAATATTTTCATTAAAGGAACGATAAATTTACTTGCATTTAAAAAAAAAAAATCAAGTTTTAGCTATTTTAAGTTTTGAATTCAAGTTAAAAACATTTTTTGTTCTTTATTATCTAGTTAAGTGTTTTATTTTAAATTGTTCCTAGCCTACTTCCAAGCTTCAATTTAGTTAACTTAATCAAAAGTTTTTTTTTTTAATCTAAATTAAGTAGAGTGCAATTAAGCTATTAAAACTTTCACAATTTTACTGTAAATGATTTAAAAGATTGAAAATTCATTAAACATTTTCAGATCAATTTTTGGGTTTAATTGGCAATCAAACTCGGACTATCCAAATATGCTGTTTTTAAAAATGCATATTTAGTATAATTGTTTGGGGTGCAATTAGGGTGCCCAACCCCAACACCCTAACGTCTCTGCTGGCGTACGTGCCTGCACGTCATAATTGAAAAACTCACGCAAAGCGACGTTAGTGACGAAGTCCGCCCCAAAATGTGGGTGGTAAGGTTTGCCAGCGTGTAGTATACCATGTAATGTTCGTGTCCTGCCTCTGGATACACATCCTATATATATATATATATATGTATATGCATATCCTATATACAGATACATACATACCCCTTTACATGCGATATGTTTGTGGGTGCTTTGGATACAGAAATGTAGACCTTGAATCTGGTATCTTGCATCTCTTTCACATGGCGAACAGCTGACTTAGCAGAGCTCTGTAACTGTTAATGAAATTAAAAGCTGAAGCGCGGCAACGTCGCCTGTTTCCTTAAACACAAAAAAAAAATATATATATATATGTAAAAGGATATCAGAAACCACTGCGCAGGACCACAAATTGCAAGGACCTGCATGTACATGTAAATGTGTGGGTGCTCGCATTGTCCTGGGCTGTTGGCCTGCATCGATTTCCCGACCATGGTCTGGGACAAATTCCATTCCACGATACACGTGCATGTCTATATCTGTGCGTATATCCTGGAAAAAAGGCGATGCGGAAAAGGAGCAACCAGATACACACGAACAAGCAACGACCTCGTAACGGGCTCTCACCTTTTCGCCGCCTCCTCTTTTCCGACCCACAATCCCGGCCATCTGTTTAGGCACATCAATTTTTACAAGTCTCAATTTCACTAACACGTTTTAAAAATCATCTTGATATTGCTATATATATATAATTGAAAATTAATTTTACATTTTGAATATTTTAGATAATATAAGAGGCAAAGGCATAACAAAGCTTTTTTATTTTTTTTTTTTAACAAGATGATGTTTCGTATCAGACAATAAATAAACGATGGTTTCCATTCAGTTTGTTTATTTATTTTTTCCAATTTTCATTTTTTATAAAAAAAAACAAGTTTAAGATTAAAACCAAAGGAGAGTTACCACGTTTATACACAAGCTGTACACACATGTGAATACAAATCTTTCTTTAGTCAAATAACTAGGTAACCAAAAAATTACTAGTTAGTAAACATATTTACAAATGGGTAGAAAATTGTTGATATACTGATATTATCTGTTCAACGGTATGGAGATTATAAGGAATTGTGTAAGTTATATATGTAAATAGGTTAAATATTTTGAAACATTGAAGAGCAGGCGTATAAACGTAGTTATAAGGTGGAATCAAAATACAACACATTACATTAATTGCATATAAAAATATCGAACATATTTTGTTGTATATAGATAATTAAATGCTAGATCGTTTGGGCGGAGCCACTGTTATACAGACATATTCCCGTATAACAGTGGCCAGGCTCTCAAGTGTCATTTAGAAGCTGTTAATTGCAAAGCGTTTCGATCCTATATATAGGTTAAGGTATAATGGCTATATAAAGTACACAGTTTAACAGTATAACAGTATTAGGCTTGAGCGTGTGCGTGTTTTGTATAACAATTAGCGTGGATGTATGTATTGTATCACTTACAACCTAAAATTGCCTTTGAGCAAAAACGTTCTTATACGATTACAAAAGTTAGACTTTTCCTCCACAGTACAAAAAAAAAAAAGTGTTTCCTAGCGTGGTTAATTATTGTTCATGGAATGGGGGGACGGGGCGGATGGGTGGAAAATCGAGAAATAATAAATTAGATTTAAGCACTAACATGGAATACGTTTATCTATATAGTTATGGAATATATATATATATATATATAAATATATTTATATATGGTGTATATCAAAAAATATTCAAACCACAATTTTTCTAGTTAAAGTTCTTTTCGTTCCATTGTCTTTTTTTGTGGGTGGGCGTGGGCTCCTACTCCTCCTTCCTCGCAAGATTCTTCAGATTCTTTCGTTCTTCGCTCAGCTTCATGGCACAAGTTTTTTTTCCCTCTCTACTTCTGTATTCATTATTCTGTACCTCTCTATCTATGTTTTTCAAATAACTTTATATCGGACAGTAGTGGGCTAGAAAAGTAATTGCTTAGCATTTTAGTTGAGTTCGTTAAGTTAGTCGGAACAGTTGTTACCCTGTATTCTTAAATACTATAATTATTCGCATGGTTTATACACAATCTATGTAAATATTGCAACTTGTTGGATTTCTTTCATAACAGGCACTTAACCTTCGTTTAGTTTGAACTTAAAATTGAATGTTAAAAACAAAAAAATATAAAACCTTTTGATTGAAAGCTGGGTATAACAGTTTTCGTTGGGCTTTTTGAGCATCACTGATACATTCGCAGCTGCCCTCTTTGTAATTTGTTTTCGACCGTTTTGAAAACTGTCGTCGATTGCCGCTTTTGGAATTGATTTCTGGTTATTCCTCAAAGATTTTTTGCGTTCTCAATTCCAAGAGTGTCGCTATAGTTCGCTATTCGTTTTTCGTAGACAATTTCTGTGTTTTTTTTTCTTTTGTTGGAATGTTGATTTTGTCATGTGCGTATATAACAGTTGCGTTCACAACAGTAGAACAGTTCACTGTTTTTTTTTTTTTTTTTGGTTTAAGAAAAGCATTAAATAGTTATATAAAATGACTGGTTATACAGAAAAATGTTGGAAATGTTACAGAAATGTAGTGGTATGTATATGGTTAAATAGTGAAATAGGTATTTCTGCGAACAGTATTACGAATTACAACAGTTATGTGGTAAAAACAATTAGACTAGTTACAACAGTTAGTCAGTAGAACATTACACTGCTTAATAGGGCTCCCTGAGTGCGAACAACACACTGTGCACAACACTTGACAATCGAGTATATAGAGTATAAAAGAGTATGGCAATTTTGACCAGCTAGCAGCGCGTATTGAAATGCGTGCGAACGGGCGGCGGTGGTGCTCGCCTCCTTCTTTCACCGCCGCCTGGATTCGTCGTTCCCGAGGCTCCAGTCCGATAGCCCTGAAGGTGACCATTGGCAGAGGATCCCGGTGATGCCGACGATGCCGCACAACCTGCTCCCCCGCCGGCGGATGCACCTGTCGCCGCTGCCTCTTCGCGCATTTTCTGCTTCTGATCGCTGAGACGGGCTCCCAGGCGATGCACCTTCTCCGGACTAAGTATGCTCAGGCGTGTCGTCTTCGTGGATTGTTGTTGATGCTGATGCTGTTGCTGGTGGGCAGCGGTCGCTAAAAAAAATATCAAAAATTATAGAACTTTAGTGGAAACGGTACAAAAGGTATGGATTGATTTGGATTGAAAACAAATAAACATAAATAAAAATAACTAGGGTGAATGCAACAACCCCTGGTGCAATTCCCTATTTTAGTGAATGGTTTTCCTTACATTTGCTTATTAAAAACAAAAACTAAATTGAACTCAATTTGTAAGTGGCTTTTCTACTCACAATTTGATGTACAACAAAATTTTAACAAGTAAAATGTTGTAATATAAAAATATTTTAACAATGTATCAAATATCATTGAAGTTTGGTAAATGTAAGGCTACTAAAATAAACTATTAAATTCATTTAAAATCCATTTATGTAAATAATGAGGAAATAATTGGGAAAATTAATGGAAAATATGTTATACGGGTAACTTAAATTCATTATGTGAAGCAATACAATCAATAGTTAAATGTTTATAAAAAAACTGTGTTTAAAATAGATGAAGAAAGGATACCCCTTAAATATAATTACAGCGAGATTTTACCATTGGTAAGACGTTGGGCCGTGGCGGCGGTGTGCCTCTGGGCCAAATGCTTGCTAGGGGATCCCGGCCTGCTGCTCCTGGTGGGCGAGACGCAATTGCCGGCGGCCAATCCTTGGGCGGTGCGACTGGGCGGTGGCCTCAGCGACTTCCCTTTGCTGTTGGTCGTTGGCAGGCGATGATTGTTGCTCGTTCGCTGCGTTGGCAGCTGCGGAGATGCTTGTGGATGCAACGTTGGCAGGGGTAACGTCAGCTTATGCTTCTTTGGCAGCCAGTCTGATGGAGCGGTTGATGGTGTACAACTGGTGCTCACATTGCCGTTGCTATTCAAATTAACACTACTATTGTGGCTGGGCGGCAGAAAGAGTGGCGGGTTGGTAATGGTGGTGTTAATGGTGGTGTTGCTACTGCTCTGACTTTTGGTCGTTGTGGCGGCCTTGCTCCTTTTCGGAGCCGACGTGGCCAGTGGTTTGCTGACCCCACTGGAAGCCAAATGCTCTAGGGATTCAGCATGCAGCAGCTTTTGTCCCACACTTGCCGTTACAGGCGGATTCTTGCGGCCAAAAATTGGAGTCTGATTGATGCGCTGCGTGCGTGGTGGTGGCGGTGGGCAATTGTTGCCACCATTCAGGGCAGCCGCTTCGTGCTCCAAACGCTGAAACATCTTTAGGGCCACCGGTGGGGTTTTGAAGAAATTCCTCATCGAGTGCTGGGATTGGTTAAAGTTCCGTCGGCTAGCCTCCTCCAAGTGCTCGAATTTGCTGCGACATTGATGCAAACGGGTGCGCATATCGTCGATGGCCAGGCGATGGTGCTGCGTATCCGTTCTGCTTGCGTTCTCCTCCATCACCTCTTTGCCCGCTTTCACTGGCTTTTCGTCCTCTTGTGCTGCTGGCATATTGTTCACCTCCTGGTAATTCAAGCTAGTATCGCAACTGGAATCCACATCGGAATAGGTGTTCAGATCCCTTACATCCTGCAGCTGCAGTTCGCCACCGGGTCGCAGGTCCACCAAGTAACCTCTTTCGCCGAACGGGCGACATTTTCTGAGGGCCTGCTTTAGAGCCCGTTCCTTGGACTCCGTTTCGGGCGTTAGATTACGTCGCTCCTCTTGGGCGCCCAGAAAACGCTGCCGACGCCTGGCACGCATACTGTCCCGCAGTCTTTCACCGCTCGGCGAGAAATCCTTGCCCAGATGCGGTGATTTGGGTATATCCTGCGGCTTGATAGCCAGATTCTCCTTCTCCTTCTCCTTATCCTTATCCTTTTCCACCGTTGATGTATCCGTTTCGACCGCAATCGAGATCACCTCATCGAGATTATTCAAGCTGCGCTGCGAGGTGGGCGACAAGGCATCCTCGGAGCTGGCATACCACTCCTGAAAGGTCTCGATCTCGTGCAGCAGTTGCTCGGGCGGCACACGATCGGCGGCCAGATCATCGCCCAGCCGTTGAAGCCAAATGTGCAGGGTTTCAAAGCACGGACGCAGATCGGGATTAAGGTCGCAGCACACGAAGGCCACTTTGACGAAAGCCTCCGGACACTGACAGCAGAACTTCTCACGGAACTCCTGCTGATTGAGGCTGAAGTCCGAGTTGCGGGGCATAAAATCCGGATCCGCTTCCACGCGACCAATGATCTGAAAGGTTACCAAATACCTGAATTAAGCACTGTGCCAGGAAATCTAAGCAATAAGTTGGTGAGCTGGTTGTAAACGGTGCAGCTGCTTTCTATATGCAATCTACAAACAATTCTCATAAATATCTATTTAAATTGAAACGTATTTTAAAATTATATATTAGTATTATGTATAATTATCTATGTTATATGATAATAAGTGAAGGCAGGCTGCAATAAGCAACCGCTTCATCGTCTACACCAAGCTTCTTTCAATTTGTTCTGCTCTAAATTATAGTGACTCAATCTCACCTCACACAGCATAATGCCAAAGGAAAAGACGTCGACCTTCTCGTCATATTTGAGGCCCTTCATCATTTCGGGTGCCATCCAGTAGGGATTGCCGACCACCGTGTATCGCTGTCTACGCTGCCTGCTCTTGCTGCGCCTGAGAGTTCCGCCCGGCGACATGGCCGCATCGCTACCAGCGCCCGATCCATAGCCACCTGGTGTGGCATTGCCACCACGGTCAGAGGATGCCACGCTGCCGCCAGGCAGACGCGGTGCATCCACACTGCGTGCTAGTCCAAAATCGGCCACAATAACCGATCGATCCTCGCGCACCAGACAATTCATCGAATTGAGGTCACGATGAATGATGTTCATCGAGTGCAGGTAGCTCATGCCGCAGGCAATGTCCCTGGCCAAGCAGACGCGTTGCGGCCACGAGAGGATCTGGGCAGAGTCGTGGATGAGTTCCTTGAGACAACCACCGGCCACATATTCGGTGACCATATGCAGTTTCTTATCCTTGTACAGCACACCAATAAACTTGAGCACATGGCGATGGTCCAGCAGGCGGAGAACGGCCACTTCCTTGATGAAATTCCTTTGGGCTTCCTCGTCCGCACGGTGGAGTTCCTTGAGGACCATCACCTCGCCACTCTGGCGATGGGTAACCTTGAACACCTTGCCAAAGAAACCTTCGCCCAACTTTTCACCAATAACCAGATCAGAGGCTCGAAAGATTCGCTGAGGTTTCTGGACCACACGACAGGATTGTGTCCTCGACAGATCGTACAGTTGGGGATGTGCCGAGTGCTGTTGTGCCTGATGCTGTTCGTCCAGCAACTTGGACAGACTGGAGCAACGCTCCTTCTCCTTCAGTTGGGTCATTGTGGCCGCTCCTGCTGCCTGCTGCGGTGGTATGGTGGTTGAGGCATTGGTGGCTTGACGTAGTCTCCTGGCCTTTGGTCCCTGTTCGCCGGGTGTCCTATAGAGTCGCTCCCTGCCCACCTCCACACTGGAGGCCGAAGTGCTGAGCGGCAGGATTAATGTGGACGCTGACATGGCCCTCTGGATATCGGCTTGACTGCATGAGCGGCACACTTGCACCGGATCATGCTCCACGGTCAGCTGCAGCATCTTTTCATTACTCCGGATCAGTTTGTCGATCTGCTCCACCGACGAATCGCTGACTGGTGTGCCATTCACCTCCAGGATGCGGTCGCCAATGTGCAAATTGGTAAGATTTACATCGATCCTGTGGCAAATGCAATTTACCAGAGATTAGAAATTTATTATTTTAGAGTTACTCGCTTAAGTTGTTTGGGCTTGGGGTTGTTAATCCAGGGGTGTTACCTATATGGGGCACCACAGCACTGTTCCGCCACCGATGTCAGCCAGAAGAAGAAGTTACAAAACAAGCTGTTCCGTTTTTTTTATTTATTTCGGGTAAGCATGTATTTTAAGTAAATAGGCGGAGGATGAGGCACCAGCCAAATTAGTATTGCATGATAAGTGGTTCGCTAAAGCTAGCTACTTATACAAAAAAAAAAAAACGTTCCATCAAGTAACTCAACTACAACCAAACGAAAACCACATAAAAATCAATAACAATAACTTCTTTCTTTGCTTTTCGTGCAATTATATATAATTTGAACTATTTGATTTTAGATTCGCAGATAATGGGACTGAATTTAAGTGAGTTAAAAGAAATGCAATTTGTAATACCTAACATATACGCTTTCAAAATCAATTTAAAACTTTTGTCAAAGAGTAGTGGATCAGAATTAATCTTAAAATACCCATTACTCTTAATCAACTTTTTTGTTGGCCAATTTTCGCATTATTTACAAGGGCTTACATCACATTTTTTTATATAGTATAACGCCTAGGTTTAAATGCCAATCGATTAGCTAAATGTTTAATGATTTATGACATCATGGATTATTATTTGAATAGTTTTGGACAACAAAATACTGATTTGTTTAGGCAAAAGAAAAAAGAAACTAATTTTTTTTGTTAAAAAAATTGTAGTAGACATTTAAATTTTAGTAAAAAAAATATACTTGTATACCATCACTGTGTTTTTTAATCCTTTAGCGTGTAGCGCGGAATTAGCAATGATTTCTGCTTAATAAAAGGTTTTATATTTGTTAACATAACAAAAAAATTAAATTGTGTTAATGTATTACGCTTGGTAGTTCTTTCTTAAAAATTGTTATATTATTTCCTAAATTGTAAAGTAATTGTAAAGTACATTTATTAATGGAATGTCCACTGTATTAATGGACAACAAAATATAGCAGGCAGTATGAACAATCTAACAAATTAAATAAAGGAGTAAACAACACTGATTATACATATGTGCATAGATAAATGTTTGTGAGGATAATGTGGGTTAGTTATGAAAATTAGGCCAGTAGGCAATGCTTACTCTGTAATGCGGACTGTGGGACAGCCGTCGTCCAGGGCCACTCCGTCGACCCTCAGGCCCGGAGTGGCGTCCTTGGGGATCTCCACCAGCCGGATGGAGTGCATCGGCTTGCCGGCCGTCGTGATCCGTGCCTTGGCATCTGCCGGCTGGCAGGATCGCTTGCCATAGCACTGGCCACAGTAGAGCTTCGACCGCTCGACCAGCGCATACGATTCACCCTCGCCGATGAAGGAGCCACAGGCTGCGCAACAGAAGCACTCCGGATGGAATTTGTGCTCGCCGGCCACCATAACGGGTCCGGTGATAACGGCCGTGCACTGTTGGCAGGCATCGCCGAACCGGCCGTAATAATCCTCCCGGCAGTACAGTAGTCCCTCGCGCTCAAAGTACCAGTTGTGCAGGTGGCCCTCGCAAACGGAGCAGCGGAAGCAGTCGCAGTGCCATTGCTGACCCAGAGCCATCACGATGGGCTCCTCCGGATGGGGCAGTAGCTGGCCCCGACAATGGGCGCACAAACCTGATCCTGATCCTGATACCGATCCTGAACCCAATCCCGATCCTCCTCGACCGCCATTTTCCCGCAGGCGCTGCTGGTGATGATGATGCATGGAATGTTTTTTGTGCCTCGGCCCGGTTACGTTAGCACTGCGGGAGGCAGGCAAAGAGGAGTGAAAAATATATTAACGAATGACGGAACAGGTATTAAATATAGTAAATATAGAACAACAGTCACGGAAAATGACCCACATCCACAGACCAATAATCGTAAACAAGGCAGTAAAACTAAGCAAGAATCTGTTTTATACTTCCAGTTTCATTCATATCGATAATTTCAATTAGACAATGTTTGTAAGACCTATTTAATAAAAATCATTTAAAGAAAGCTTTAAAGAAATTCTTTGATGTCCATTAGAGTTATTAACTTCAATGTTTAATATAATTTTTAAATATTCCTAAGTCAATGTTCAAACAAATTATGTTTATATAAATACAGAATTATATGACTAAGTATTAAATATATATTGTTCAGATACAGATAAGATAAGGACCCTTTGTTAAACCGTATTATGCAAGAACATACATATTTATATTGATTTATTAGAAATTCTATTTAAAGATAATAAAATTGTGGCAATATCGCCCGGTAATTTAAACGAAGTTCTTGAGGCGGATAATTGAATTTCTTTCTTTTAAGCAATAGCTACTGTAGTTAGAATTTAACAAATGACAAAAATGGAACAAAAATTTGTATGAACGATAGTCATTGGTTTGGGGTTTAGTTGGGGATATTGTTCACAAGCGATAAAGAGTTCGATCCTGAGTCAGCTCCTCCAATGGAATGCAAAAACCGCCTGATTTTGATTGACTGTCCGGCTCTTCTTGCTTGGATCATCATCACTTTACATTCATACATATGTATGTATGTAAATATGTAGATATGTAAATATCTCAACATTGACCGTGAAAACGGAGTGGATGCAACAACAACTATGGGTCTTTGAAGCAACTGCAATAATCGCAATTGCACTTCAGCTGAGCTAACTGTAGTTGTTGTGCTTGCTATCCCGCTCCCGCCCGCGTAAACTATGCCAATGAATGACGAATGCACTCAAACACGCTTGTAGACACAGTGGGCAGTAAACTTTAGCTAAAACTCCATTAAAAAAATGTCTTCTTTTCACGTCCTCAAGCGCAACCCCTTTTAGTCATAAAGGTACCCAAGCAGAATATTCGATATATGTTGATTTATAAACATTTATTCCTGCTCAAGGGCATTGGGAAATTTGGTTATTAAACTTTTTTATTTAATGCGAAGTTAACCGGGAACAAAGGAAACATTTTTAGATTGAATGTTTTTAATCTATTTTTAACAGTCGGAAATATTCCCTACCACTTGTAAAATAAGAATAGGCAGTTTATTTAATTAAGGAATTAATTGTTTTAAATAGTCGCTATTAACTTACTGAGCAGAACAACGTTCTTTTTGTTATTCATTAAAAATAGTTTAACTTGATTGTAATTAGTCTTGGTATATGTCGCACTAGAACTTATATTCATTTAATTGTATGTAACTATCATAGCTTGCGGTCAAATTATGTTTACTAAGACAATTAATTAATTCACTAGAGCAGTTTTGTTTATTTTAAGCCAGAAAAATTGACCATTTTGCCCACTGTGCGAAGGCAGAAGCACAACACACACACATGTTTGCTGGCGGACACGAACACGCGTACAGGTGCTGCACACTCGTGCAAACATACATACACTGTTCGAAAATGTGTGTGGGGGAACGGGAACAACAACGACATTAACAAATGTCCCAAAGCAGATACAACAACAACAACAACTGGTTTTTACCAACATGCGCGTCTATTGTTACCTGTTTGTTGTTGTTTCTGCTGTTGTTGTCGTTTTTGTACACTAAATTAAACCAAACACACACGCACACACACACTTACATAATTGTTCGTTTGTATTGCCATTGACTTGACGCACATTGCACATTTGTTAGGTTTTCTTCGCCTTATTTTATTCAACCACAATTCCCGCCATGCAATAATAATATTGGCAACCGCTGCCGAAATGCCAAGGATCTAATTTAAATGCCGACGCACAACTCGCGAACTCAAACAATAAAAAAGAAATGCATAATAAACAAAACAACAACAAAACCACACAAAATAAAAGACAATCGTGCCAGTGCGACCGTAGACCTAACATTAAAATAATCCTGACCTATCGGCTGTAACGCGCCAACTCAAAAAATGTTAAAATAATATATAACTGTAATCAACATTATTTTTTTGTTTATTTATTTATATTTTTTTATTAATATATTTTTTTTTACAATTTACAACAAAAAAGTTTAAGTTTATGAAACAATATTTGTTTGCGCAGAGTGACCATATTCGGAAAACGAAAAAAAATAGATTTTTATGGTAGGGCAGTGCGGTCGTTTTAATCATATGATTTAAAATAATTTAACGGAAGAACTGGCATAACTTTTTCGTTTCTGATCAAAATTGAACAAATAAATAAAATAGAATACTAAATTTGGTTTAATTCTCAAATCATGCTTCTTTTCTTGATTAGCCTTATATATTTAGATTCTACATATACGATCTATTTGAAAAAGTTAATTAAAATTTCCGTAATTTATTTAAATCGGTGTAATATTTCAAATTAATATTAATATAGTCATCCCCTATCGATCAAATCCGGTGAATGTTTTGATATTCACAATGAAATACATTCGTTTTGTAACAAAAACAATACTGTCTTCAGCGTTTATTTTATTGTATACTTATCGTTAGCGTCTCTCACCATTGTTTTTTGGTCAGTTGGAAATAAAAAAGTGAAAACAAAACGTTCTAATAATTTAAGTTTACAGGGAATAATCAATTTGTCTACGATCTCTTAGCCCTGGGCTGTGTTCGTCCTGCCGGCGGAACTGCTGCTCACTGCCGCAGTTGCCTGCTGCTCCTTGGCGGCCACCACGTTCTCCACGGCCTGCACTTGCTCCTGGATATCCCGTCGCTCCTGCTGACGCACCAGCTCGAAATACAGACCCCGCTTGGCCATCAGTTCGTCGTGTTTGCCGGTCTAAGAATTATGACAAAATACAGTAAATTATTTTTAAGAAATTTGAGTGTAAATTAAAATTAAAATTAAAATATAGACCTATAAATATATTACTTTGACGTATCGAAACAAATAGAACATATCAAAATGTATATTCATTTTGGCATGTTATTAGTCCCTACTAACTTAGTTCTAATATAAAGCTGAAGAATTCGAGGTTTTTTATATGTAAATTCAAACACACTATCTTAAAGGCTTGGAAATTGATAATTTCTTAGTTGTTTCAAGATTTATAACTTGGCCCTATGAAAGTCTATTGCTTAGCAGCTTTTAAGCTATCATAAGAAGTTTTTGATATGCAAGATAAATCTTATATATCGAACGAGTTACAATAATATCAATATTTTATTAAGGATTTGCCAACTCACCTCCACTACGCGTCCCTGGTCGAGGACGACGATGAGGTCAGCGTTTCGTATCGTGGACAGCCGATGAGCAATCACCAGGGTGGTTCGATTTTGCACCGCTGTGTCCAGTGCCTTCTGCACCTCCGCCTCGCTGGTGGCATCCAGCGCACTGGTCGCCTCGTCCAGGATGAGGATGCGCGGGTTCTTCAACAGGGCCCGGGCAATGGCGATGCGTTGCCGCTGGCCACCGCTCAACTGGGTGCCCCTTTCGCCCACATGCGTCGCATATCCATCTGGCAGGGCTGTGACAAAGTCGTGCGATTGCGAGAGTCGCGAGGCCGCAAACACATCCTCCTCGCCCGCATCCGGTTTGCCATATCGGATATTCTCCAATATCGATGTGCCAAACAGCACCGGCTGCTGTTCGATGAAACCGAGGACATTGGCTCGCAGCCAGTAGGGCGAGATGTCCGACAGCTTGTAGCCATCCAATTTGATATTGCCCGCCGATGGTTCGTAGAAGCGTTCCACCAGCGACGCTATCGTCGACTTGCCCGATCCACTGGCTCCCACCAGGGCCACCGTCTGGCCCGGGCGGAGCGTCAGGCTGAAGTCCTTGAGCACCACCTAAGGGAAAATAAAGAAATGGTAAGTATCAGTAGGAATATTGCTAAATATAATTTAATTTCTATACGTTTAATGCATAAAAGTCTATAACAGTTATTAAAATAGGAAAGGAAATGACTTTTTTCATAACTCTGGTGCTAATCTTTATAATAAAATAGCTATAAATAAATAGCTATAAATGTTTGTGACTGTTATAAAATTGTTATCTATTTGCGGCAGCGATACGAAGTTGCTCAATATTATATAAAAAAAAGTTACCAGAATTAAATTATACCAAATATTGAACTAAATAATCTTGCAATTATACTTTCGAAGAAAAAGGTATAATAAGGATAATCTCTAAGATAACTTACATGATCGGGCCGCATGGGATATGCGAAGGAGACGTTCTCAAAGCGTATTTCGCCATGTAGACGCTCCTGCGGTATAACATAGCCGCGCAGCAGCTCCACCTGCGGCTGCAGCGAGAGGAACTCGAACACCCGACTGCCAGCCGTCATGCCGCGGATCATGGTGCCCAGCAGGATGGATCCCTGGGCCAGGGATCGTTGCACACCCTGCGAGGCAACCAGGAAGGCCATCAGGGCACCCGGCGACAGGCTTTCCGTGGACATGAGGTGACCGCCCATGAATAGCGTGGATAGGACTAGTGTGTTGAGGAAGAAATTGGTGAGACCCTGGAAGATGGCGATGCCATAGCCGAGTTCCTGCGCCAGACGAGCCGCCTCATTGGTCTCCGCCTCGAATAGCTGCATTTCGCGGTATTCACAGGCACTGGATCTCACCGTCCGGATGTTGGACAATGCCTCCTCGCAAACTCCCGTCGCTCGTTCCGCTTGGGCCTGTGAACTCTTGCTGAGCGAGCGCAGTTTTTTGCCCAAATACGACATGAACATCACCACACACGGCACACTGGCCAGCGCAATGGCAGCCATGTGAGGTGAAATCATGAAGAGCGATATGCTGCCACCAATCAACTGGGCAGCACTTCGCAATCCCTGGGCCACGAATTGCTTGAACGAGGTCTTAAAGTCCTGCACATCGGCTGTGAGTCGATTGACCAGCTCACCCGTTCGATTCTCATCGAAGAAGGCAATGTCCTGGACGACGATCTGTGTGAACAAATCCTGCCGCATCTTGGCCGCCATCTGCTCGCCGACACGGCTCAGTAGGTAGATGTACATGAAGGTGAAGCCCGACTGCAGCATGTACAGGCTCAGCAGATTGCCGGCCGGTTTGCTCACGTCCTTCACAAACGAGTTGTTGATCGGATCCGTCACGTACGTGTTGGCATATCTTGCCAGTGTGTTGACCAGGTCGCCCAGCAGGTTCGGGATGCGAATGTTGATATAAGCCACTATCAGGGCGGCCTGCAAGTAAAAAGGGAGTTCAATTAGTATAAGATATAACCATCCATTAGTTGTACATGATATCATTTACTAAAATTTAATTACTTTGATAACTGCTCGAATTTAACTAAATTAGTTTTCGACAAAACTATATTTTAAACAGTCTTTTTGCTAAATTTTAATAAAAGTAGTTTTTAAGTGAATAGATTAATATACTGTTTTTTAAATATGCCAGCAAGTTAAAAGCAAAATCAGATAATAAATATATATACAATTACCGCCTTTAGCATTTCGAGTGTATATCTTATTTTTAGCTTCATTGTGTTTTTAGGCCTCTGGGCTTTTTTGACTGAACTTGGGAAGTTTGCCAAGGATTTTGAATCTCTGCAGTTCCTTAATTTGTGCATCTATTAACTGACACTATCCGACGGGCATTGGGGGTTATTTGAGTTACAATCCCTATTTGTCTATTGATAATAGCACTCTTTCGACTAAGATTGTTTTCCTCTGGAAGAGTACTATTATATATGTATAAGCTTTTTGAATTGACTGAAACTATTGGTTTAAAAAGTCCCTGAGCGTTCAGTGTGTTGCAAGTTAGTTTAGGATATTGTTTCTCTGCGGTTTCTTAACTTGCATTTCTTTCGGGCGACACTATCCAAAGGGGTTTTGTTCCTATTCCTCGATCACAACCCAATGTCCACTAGTTGCTCTCCTGGCCAACACTACTTCCTACTGGTTTTTCCACTCACGCAAATGGCCCCGATGAGCTCCCAGAGATGTGGCTCCAGGTAGGCCCACAATCGTTGCCAGTCGAATCGCTGCTCGTCCGCTGGGTCCTCCTCCTCCAACTCCTTGCGAATGGCCAGTCGGCTGCCCTCGCAATGGACGATCCCGCCGCGCCCCGCCCACCAGGAGCGGGCGCCCAGGCCGAGCGATAGACTGCCGCCGCCCCACAGAAGTAGGCGTGTCGTGTGCAGCAGGCGGCTGGCATTTGTGGGCGGAAGCGCTGGTGCGGGCGGACAAGGTGGTGCTCCTTTGGCGTTCGTGCCGCGCAGATGTTGTCGCATCAGGCGGGCGGCATTCTGGAGGCGTGGCAGTGGCTGCTGCGAGGGCTGCAGCAGGTGGCGGCTGGCGAAAAAGGGCGGTTAAAATCAAGTTGCTAAATTGATGACATAACCGAAGTGAGGGCAAAGAGGGGGCGGGGGCTTAGGTTTCATGGCCAGGTGTTGTTGGTGGTGGTGGTGCTGCTGCTGCCGTTCCTGGTGGATCCACCATTCCTGAGCCACGATGACACCGCCTGCCTACCTGAGCAAATCGCTGCTGCGGCCGCAATTGGACACGAGTAGGCGCAGCATCTCTTCTCGTCTCGCGTGGCTTGCAAATATCAACAAAATACGCAAGCGCTAAGGCATCAGTGTTATTGTTGTTGTTTGCTGTTCTGTTGCTGCTGCTGTGTGTGTGTTGTTGTTGTTGTTTTTACCACTGGTGGTGGGACGCCAACGATAGAAACACACGCATGTGTTCAGCGATAGGCAGTTGCAGAATTATCGAATAATTAGGGGGATCCCCTTTTAAAGTCGATTTTTGATTGCTTTCAATGTTTTCAAATAAAATTAAATCTAATTAAATTAAGCGAGCTCAGCATGAGTCATTTCTAAGATTTCAAAACGGAAATCAAGGGGGAATTTGTTTTAATTAAGTACATACCAAAATTGTTAGCAATTTCGAATATGTTGCATTTTTAGATACTGACAGTGTGTAGGCGTATATATTGAATAATGCTGTTACACGACTCAAGCTAATCATTATTCTTGAAAAGTAAAAAAAAATAAATCCGTCAATGAATGAGACCAACAATGTTGTGTCATAGCCCCATGAATAAAAATCACATTTGGTTAAAAACATTTATGCCTACTGCGATGCGAATAGCCGAAAGCCAAGGTGTCGCCACGAATCCTGCAATCGGGAATCCTGCAATTGAAAATTTTTGAAATAAAACTTATAATGATTACGGTTCCAAAAATAAATGAATCATATAAAATTTTTGTTTTTGTGTTATATTTAAATTATAAATACGCAATAATTATAAAAAATAAATATAGCTCCAATTTAAATAAACTAATTTGTTTTTAGATAAAACAATTGTTTTTCTCCCATCTTTAATCTGCACTCAGTCTGGCCACCCTGTCTGACAGTCCGCTCGCCAGTCTGGCAACGCCACCAAAGTCGAGTTGGCATTTGGGAGATTTTGCTGCGTTCGGATCGAAAAAATTCCATAGTTAACTATTTAAAACCCGAAGACGACTGCTTTAGCAATTAGCAAACAAGTAAATGTATTGTTTAGTCAACTGCCAGAGAACAGTACTACGTGCGTGTAAATAAGCAAGCGATTTGTGTAAGTCACTGTGCAGAGTAAGCTAATTAGAAGGCGAAGAGAAAAAGGAAAGGGACATCGACACTTGTGCCCGCTGTGTGTGTGTGTCGTGTGTCTGCGTGTGTGTGTGTGTTTACCTGCAGAGCGGCTCTCTCGTAAATTTTGCTGTGGTTTTATTTTTATAAGAAATTGACAAAGCCAACTGCCAAGTGTTTTGGTTTTTTATTTGATGGGATGGTCAGTAAAATTAATTGTGTGGTCAGTTTTGCAAAAACACCGGATTCGCATTGCAACCCTGCGTATCGTTCTTTTTCGCCGAGAGAGAAGCTCTCTCTCTTCCTATCCCAACCACTGCTCCAATTTTTCTTCGCTCCCCAGAGAGTGTTTTCACTTTTGACTTACGGAACAAAAAAAAAAAGAAGAAAAATGTAATAATTAAAAATAAGCAAGGAATATGCAAAAGTCAGACCTCGAAAATCAAGTGCAAAAATTATAATCAGTGGCGTAGAGATGGGTACAAAATGCAGCAGAGAAAACCTGCTGCGTCAAGAGAACGAAAACAACAACAGTTAAAGAGAGCTAAACGGTGGTAACAAAACGTAGAAGAAGAAGACTAAGAGTGGGGGCAATATATGGCAAACGTCCACGTAAACTTTTAACTTTTGCTTTTCGCTTATTGCAGCACTATAAACCTATACTATATTCGATACTGTTCCAAATTCGTTTGCGTATTTTTACCATTGCACTTGCCAACTGGAATTGGGGAAAAATCAGGGAAAACGGGTAATTTTCCTTCAAAACAGGTTTCGTTCATTGAACCGCTCCACAAATCTAACAACCCACCACCTACACACTCCCCCGAAAACTCCTTTTAAAACCTACATACATATAACCCCGTTATGGGTTAAATATCTAAAAAGAAATTCTTGGATCTTACAACTAGTTTTCTTGGTTATCTAAAAAACTACATAGGAGTTAGGTAAAATTAAGATCATGCCACTATTTTATTTTTATTGGGAGATAAGATAAATCTGGCTGAATTCATACTTAAAAATGTGAACTTTTCAGAAAAAAAATTTAAGAAATAATTGCAATGAAGTTGTAATCTTATGAAATACTTGTTTGCAAATTGTATAAACAAAGGGAATACAAATGCAGGTTTTTAAAAGCTTATTGATAAAATTATATTTAAATTGAGTAGGCTTTTAGCTATCAGTTAATATTTTGCATTCCTTGTTTAATAAAGTTTATTATATGTTTTGTTCCTATTTTTACAGCTCCAATATGTTGCAAAATAATGCGCCCTGGCTGCCACCGCATCAGCAGCAGCAGCAGCAACAGGCGCCGCAGCAGCATCCACCTCCCCAGCAACAACATGCAACGCCCCAACAGCAGCAACCTCATCCTGCCCAGCAGCAGCCGCAGCAGCTCTATGCCAGCCAAATGTTTCAGCAACAGCAGCCAAATTACTGGCCGGAGGATCAGCAGCAGCAGCAGCAGCAGCAGCAAACGCTGAACTACAACAACTACTTTGGGGGACAGCAGCAGCAACAGCCGGTGCAGCAGCAACACCCTTTGCAGCAGCAGCAGCAACAACTGCATCCGCAGCAGCAACAACTGCACCCGCAGCAGCAACAGCAACATCAACATCAACAGCCTACGCAGCAGCAACATGCAATGCAGCAGCAACTGTATTATCCCACTCACCAGCAGCCCCAAGTTCCGGCTCCAGCAGAACCCGCTCTGGACTCGTTTGACAACAATAATAGCGGAGGAGGAGGTGGTGGCCGGACCGATGGCTGGGGTGATTGGGACGACTGGAACGACAACAGCAACAATAATAGCGTCAGCAACATTAGCAACAGCAACGAGGCCTTGTTGGAGCCATCGGGACAACTGTTGGCGGATTCCTTCAACGTGCCGTCCTCACCAGGCAGTTGGCAAGTTTTTGCCACCGGTAATAATGTCAATAACAACGTGGAACTGCCGCCACCAACGGATCAGCAGGCACCACCACCACCATCATTGCAGCAGCAATCGACACCATTGTTGCAGCACCACCAGCAACAGCAGCCGCAACCGCCGCCGGAGCTTGGGCAGGAACCCGAACTGGATGCCATTGTGCCTCCTCAAGCGTTCCAAAACCAACCAGCAGCTGCGTTTTCTGCACCATTGCCTGCTGTGGATTCATCACTATTTGCTGTAGGAGCTCCTCCAGCGCAACTTGCAGGGATAGGGGCATCACCAGCACCCTTGGTTCCTCTGGGAGCACCACCAGCAACAGCAACAGCAGCAGCAGCAGCAGCCTTGGTTCCAGTGGGAGCGCCACCACAAGCAACAAGCATTGCACCACCAGCTGCACTGCCGCCCAGCTTGACTCCAGCGGCTGGCAATCCCTTCAAACGCTCCACGGGTCTCAGCAAGCGGGTCAACATAATGGCCAATCCGTCAGGAGGAGCTCCTTCGCCACCGGCACCCGCTGTAATGGCTCCTGTGGCACCTGTGGCATCTGGAGCACCTATAGCACCTATAGCACTTGTAGCACCAATTGCACCACCAGCGGAGCAGCTATTTGGTTTGCCAACTGAAGCTCAAGGAGATGCTTTCAATTTACTAACGTCACCACCTGTTGAAGCTTCATTTGGAGCTCCACCGGGTGTACCCACTCATTCTGCACACATTCCTGGTCCAGCCGCATCGCTCTATGCATCATCACCATCAGCACCAACAAGCCTTCAACAGCCCGTCGTCCAGACCGTGGAACCGGACAACCAGGAGGTGCTGTCCGCTCCGAATGACGAGCGGGCGCAGTATTTGCAGACGAGTCACCTGTCCGAGCAGTTGGGCGAAGGTGAAGCGGATCAGGATGCGGGTCTGTTGCCGCCACCGGGCCTATCGCGTCTAGTTTTGGGCCAACCGGAGTTGGACTCGCAGCAGCAGCGCCTGGTCACCGGAGCCACGGAGCAGCCACCGTTGAATGTGGCACAGGCGGCTGCCCTCCACATGCAGGAGCGTCAGGCTGATGGCGAGGACACCTCCGATGGCGAACAGCAAGTGCGTAATATACAAACGCCACCGCGTCGCGTGGTCACGGGCGTGGAGACCAGTGCTCCTGTCTCACTATCCTTGCGAGAGCAGCGCGAGGTGGTCCTCGATGGCGAGAATCTGGAGGATCGGGAAGCTATTCCGCCACCAGCTCAGGTCTTTACCCAAATTCCCCCAACATCAGTAGCATACAATATGCATCACAATGCTCTGCCCGATGAGCCGGAGCAGCTACATCACAACAATCCGCCACAGGCACCAGTTCCATTGAATCAACCGCAGCCACTGTCGCATCAGCAGCAGCAACAGCAGCAGCAACAGCAGCAGCACCAGCAGCAACAGCAACCCCTGTTGCAGCAGCAACACCCAACTCAGCTGGAGAAGAAGCGTGCGTCGGCGGCGGGACGTCGAAACAATGCCTCGCTAGATTTGGAATCCGAGGATGAATCGGATGAGTTCCTGCAGAGCGAACGGGAACGGGATCGGGAGCGTGAGCGTGAGCGTCGCGATCAGATGGAGGAGAGGCGTGGTCGCGGCCGCAGCCATGGTCATTACACCTACGATGGCGAAACGGAGGACTCGGTACGCGGTGCTGCCCACCACGATAGCAAATCCCTGAGAGAAACGCATCACAGGCGCAATCAGGAGACCACCCGTTCGCGACGCCACCAGGAACCGGAGGCGGAGCGGGAAAGGGAACGCGATAGGGAGCGTGAGAGGGACAGGGATCGTGAGCGGACCTGGCGACGACGATCCAACAAGTATCACAGTGGTGGCGAGGATCAGGAGCGTTCCTATGACCACTCGCGTCGCTACAACAATAGCAACTACGACGGCGAATCGGATAATCCGGAGATTAATCACCTGGGCGAAGGGGAGCTGGACGGTAGTGTTGGCGGTGGCACAGTTGGTACCGGCGGTAGTGGCGGTCGGAGCAGTAAAGTTGATCGCCAGCGACGCAGTGCCGCCGAAGAGGAATTCGACGACTACGAACGTGAACGCGATCGCAATCGCCAGTACTCCAGACGCTCCACCAAGCAGCAGTCGCAATCATCGGCCGATAAATCCCGCTCC